GGGGTGGGGGCGGGAGAGGTAGGTGGGCTTTGAGGAGGGGCCAGTTCAGGCCTGGATGGGGTGTGACTGGGGGCACAGACCCCGGGGGTCCAGGGTGAGCCCCATGCTCCCCTTGGCCTTCAAGGTGGGCTTTCCACACGAGCATGTGGCAGACCCCCTCACCCGTCCCCGGCAGGGGCCTGACGGACGAGTCGGAGATCCTGCGGTTCTTGCAGCATGGCACCCTGGTGGGGCTGCTGCCCGTGCCCCACCCCATCCTCATTCGAAAGTACCAGGCCAACTCGGGCACGGCCATGTGGTTCCGCACCTACATGTGGGGTGTCATCTATCTGAGGTGGGCCACGTGGGGGCGGGGCAGCTGCCGGCCTGGGTGGGTCTGGTGTCCGCCTGAGAGCCTGCCCAGTGGGGCTCAGCGGGGGTCTCAGCACCGGGTCCCACCATCCTAGTGGGGTTAATGTCAAGGCAGTCAACCAGGGTGGTCCTGCCTGGTTGTGGGCACCCACAGTCCGGGGTGGGACATCGGGGTGGGACGTCAGGGTGGGAGGGGTTTGGGCTGTATCTCTGTGAGGCCTCCCAGGACCCAGGACAACCTACTCCCTCCGCAGGAATGTGGACCCGCCCGTCTGGTATGACACCGACGTGAAGCTGTTTGAGATCCAGCGGGTGTGAGGATGGAAGCCTACAGGGACAGGGGCCGGGGAGGGTGGGGCCCTGGGCCCCCTCATCCATCCCCCCTGCCCGACCCACCGACCGTTCTGAGCTTTAACTCGCTCTGATCAGGGCTGGGGGCTAGCACAGTGACCGAGTCCTAGGTGGCAGGCCCCAGAGGCCCCTTGTGGCTGGGATGCTGGGGATCAGCTCTGACCTTCCCCGAACTCCCCTCCTCGCCCTGGAGCACCCCGTCTCTGCGGCTGTAGGCCCCAGCCGGAGCCCCACCTCCCTTTTTCCCCCTTCAAGACCTGTTTCTATGCTGACCCTCAGTGCCTGCCCAGCTCCTGCGCTGCTCACCCCAGAGGCCATCAGGGCACTGGGCCCTAATGGGTTGCCCAAAAGGGAGCTGAGGGCTGTCTTTTGAGGGACCTGGGCAGGGTGAGGGGCCTGGCCAAGTTTCCTAACCTGAAACCACCTGGTCCAGGCCTGGCTCACTGTCAGGGCCTGTGGGAGGAGGGCGGGTGGCCGGGCTGCTTGAGGAGGGGGCTGGGGACTGGCCGGCTGCAAAAGCCAGATTGGGGTCCCATGCATTTCAGGGTTTTGGAGTAGGGTGTGGAGGGTGTCCTGCTGTATTCTTCCAGGGCGGTGGATGCAGCGTGGCTCCCTCTAATATCCAGAAGTGGGGCAAAAGGAATGAGGAGGGGCAGCTGTTCAGTCCTCCTGCCCCCACCCACTGCCTGGAGGACTGGGGGGCAGGGTGCCACCGTCTGCCCTCCCCTCCGTCCTCTGGGCTCTGGCCTCTGGCCTCTGGCTCTCCCTCACCCCACCTGTGTCAGTACAATCTTTGCTCTGTACAATCGGCCTCTACACAATAAACACCCCTCTCCACACCCCGGCTCTTCGTACTTGGAGGGGAGGGTCCAGCCGTGGCCCTTGTCACCAGGGGAGCTGGGGATTCTGCCTCCCAGAGTCAGTCCCCAGAGGGCCTTAGTGCTGGCTGGGAACCTGTGTTTATCATTCTCTTGGGGGTGGGGATGGGGATAGAGAATTGGACCTCTGGGCTGTGGCCGCCCAGAGAAAGAACCTACACAGGAGAGGTGAGGGGCCTACCTCTCAGCTGTCTGTTTCACCCCCAGGGGCCCTGCTGGCCCGGGCAGCCACTGAGAGTACTGGGGGTTCCTGGGGCCTAGGCCTGTGCTTTCCAGTGTCCAGCGTCATGGGGAGGGGCCCAGAGGCATGTGAGAGCTGCCCGCAGGCCTGGGGCTGCCCTCCCCCGGCCTCACCCAGCCTCACCCTGGGCCCGGCCTGGTGTTTGCACTGGGCTCTGGGAGATGGATGGCCTGTCATATCTGCCCTTTCTGCCTGATGGCTGAGGATCCAGCAGGCCTAGGGACCCAGCAGCCAAAGGCCACAGCCCCTGTGCTGAGCCAGCTTGGGAAAGTCACCTGCGGCTCTCTGTCGGAGAGAGGGTGTGCTGATGAGGGGTGGGGAGACTTGAGAGCCCTGGCCCCTCTCTTTCCCCCTCCCATGGATCAGACAAGAACTGGTTTCGACCTCTCCTGGCCCAGAAACAAGACTGTCTCAGCCCACAGCCCTGCCCAGAAGGACAGTCCCTTCCCACCATACCCAAGTGGCAGTTCTGTCCCTGGGAACAAATGCCATGAAGCCCAAATGTAATCAATCAAACAAACAGAGTTTATGGCAGTGGGAGAGAGCTGTTGAACCCTGCCTGGCAGCTAATTAATGAGCTCATTAGGCTGTGTGGGGAAAGCAGGGCAGGGCTGCCTGCCGAGCTGTCTGCTTCCAGGGTGCCCTGGGCCTGGCTTGGACCATGGGCCCTTCTTCAGGCAGGAGGCAGACCCCAGAGATCTGGCTGGGGTGTCCCTCTCCAAGCTCCCCAGACTCAGTCATTTAGGGCTGGCCCTGCCAGAGTAGCTGTGGGGCTTCCTGGGTATATCCTGGGCTGTACTAATTTGGGGGTGAGCTGGGGCAGGCACATGCCCAGTGATCCACTCCCCCCTCCCCACCCCCCTTAGTGAGGCTCTGGGGAAGGGGAGGCTTTGGGGAACCCAGGCTGCCCTAAGCACCCCTGGAATGGGGCGTCTGCTCAGAGGCTCTGGGCTACACTTTCCCAGCCTTGGCACTTTGGGGCTCTGTCAGGGGTGGGTTTCTTGGGCAGCCTCAGGCCCCCAAGTAGACCTCCACCAGCCCCCCCACAGAGTGCATGCGGTAGAAGACGCCCAGAGGCAGGCCGAAGTTGACGATGGTGAACCATGTCTGGTAGCCATAGAAATCCTTCTCCAGTCCATTCTCAAACTCGGGGTGGATGCCAAACGCAGGCATCATCCACAGCTGGGGAGGAAAGGCGGGTGCTGAGTGGTGCAGGGGCGCTCCCAGGCACTTAGCACAGGGGAGGCAGGTTCCTGAAGCTACAGCTCCTCCACTCATCCCCCACCCTCGGGCCTGCAGAGCCAGTCCTTCGGGCCCACATCCCTCTCAGCCAGACCACAGCACCTACTCGGCTTGCCAGCCTGAACTCGGATGGGTCGTGAGACCCCAGTTGCCACCACCCACGGTGCAGTCTGCTCTGTCAAGCTGGGCGCCTTGGGCTCTGCCCCTCCACCCTGGGCCCGCCTCTGTCCAAACTCGACCTGTTTCTCGAGGCCCAGATCAAACTCTCATGAAGCCTTCCTTGGCCACTCAGGCCCACACTCCCTTCCCTGAGGTCCTACTGCGCTCTAGGGCCGCGTCATTGCTTGTTCTCTGCCTGGACCTGGGCTTTGGGCACCTGCGGTGTGTTCCCAGCAGTCATTAGCAACATGAGCGCAAACAACCCGAGCTGTCCAGAGCCGCCGCTTAGGCTGTGGGACTGCGGCAGGTCGAATGGCCTGAGCCTAGTTTCCTCATCGGTGAACTGGGGACGGCGGTAATGCTGCTGCGTGGAGTCGCTGAGGACTCACCAGGTGCAGAGCCATCGCCTGGAGCTGAGGACCTGGGGCTGAGCAACCATGGTCCACCCCTCCCGCCAGGAGTTCTTTAAGAAACCAGGCACTTTTTGATCCCTTCCTTTGACTGAATTCAGTGGGAAACTAATTGTTTGATAATTCCTTAGTTGTTCCCTCAGTGTCTCCCCAGCTAGACGGGAAGCTTCCTGAGGGTAGAGCCCTTACACGTTTGGTTATGGAGTGCATTTGGCTACGAGCTGGGCACACTCATTCACGACAGGTACCCTGCTCTCAAAGGTCATAGAGCTGGCTGGAAAGAGGCGTGTGTCCTCGACAAT